GTTAAGCACAAAGCTACACAAAGGGCTATCTATGCTCTGCCCACCACGGGTATCGAAACCCGGATTCTAGCGTTGTAAGTCCACAGACATACCGCTGGGCCACTGGGGGGCAGGGCTAGAGGAAAAGCAGCTGTTTAACGAACTAATAAGCTAGAGGGAAGGCAACTGTTTAACGAATTGGTAGGCTAGAGGAAAGGCAGCTGTTTAACAAACTAATAAACTAGAGGGAAGGCAGCATTTAACGAACTAATAAGCTAGAGGGAAGGCAGGTGGTTAACAAACTAATAAGCTAGAAGGAAAGCAACTGTTTAATGAATTGGTAGGCTAGAGAAAAGGCAGCTGGTTAACGAACTAATAAGCTAGAGGAAAGACAGGTGCTTAAAGAACTAATAAGCTGGAGGGAAGGCAGCTGTTTAACAAACTAATAAGCTAGAGGGAAGGCAGGTGGTTAACGAACTAATAAGCTAGAAGGAAAGCAACTGTTTAACGAACTAATAGGCCAGAGGAAAGGCAGGTGCTTAACGAATTAATAGGCTAAAGGGAAGGCAGCTATTTAACAGCATCCACTGAAATCGAATAGTTGGATTTGAGCGCCGTTCTTATAATACATTAACAGTCCCATAGTATGGATGTGGAGCACGAATGCAAACCATGAACCCTCGTATCCGTAGTCCAGCACTCTAAACAGTCAGTAACGTCTGGCCCGCCAGTAACTGAGCTATATATCTGTACAGAAAACAATTATTCACACTGCTGACGATGAGCGAACGAACGCTAAAAACTCCGTAAAAAATCATTTTTCTAGTAATTACACTTTTGCTTGTGAATTTGTCTTCGTTTAAACAACTGTAAATATTTATATTTACAAACGCTAAACAAAAAAGAAAATACAAAGAGCTAATCTCTACATGTTTACCAAACCCGGTATGATACCTTACTAATGCTTGTACGAATTTCCTATATTATAGACGGTAGATAAAGGATAGGCAGTAGTGCCTATTTGTAAGAATAAAAAGCTGAATGGTAAAAAAAAAGGATAATGTTATAAAGATTAAGACAAAGAAATTAGAACTGTCCATAATGAATTACATCCACGACTTTAAATTCAAAAATATCAAACCCATTTTTCAGGTCATTTTTTTTCTCCCTTTTGTTCAGCTTGGAAAAATCGCTTTTTTCTTTAAACATATTTTTATTCATGTTTTTAATTTACGTTTATTACGCGCAGCTGAACTGAAAGATTGGTTGTCACTTACTTCCAAGCTTCATGGCTATCTATCTCCACCCCGCAAGAATCAACTTCAGTTTATTCCAAGTCGTTTACTGACGATTCTAGATTCTATTCTTTAACTAAACACTGATATGTCGTGTTTCTTTTACTTTTTTCTTTTCTTCTTTTATGGAACGAAAGGGTTACTAATAAAAAAATAACAGTATATTCTATGCTGCCTGTGTCAAGCAGAGGATAAAAGTTGTTAAAGTGAAGATGATGGATGACAGGTGAACGTGATTTTGAACGGGCAAAGAGAGCGTTGTGGCCTTTTTTTATTTTTTCAATAAAAAGTAAATTGGCCATCCATTACCAGTAGATAGGATGAAGATAAAATTCAAAGAGAAATTCAATCTGTATTTTATGTATGTATGAAGTTTTAAATTACATATCTTTAAAGTTTTTTCTATTATTATTATTTTACCCTGTTGCTTGCAGTTTCATGATTTTCTTGCTTATTAATTCTTCATCAAACAAGAAGCCTGGACACAGATATATCTGCAGTTTCTATTTCTTCATTATTTTCTCCCTACTGTTATTATTATCTGATTAACATTGTAACCCAAAATATTAAACTTTAAGGAGTGGACGCATGTCTTCAAATTGTTGTAGCTTATATAATAATGATGTCACCAGATATACTTATTTCATAAATTTAATGATTACACTTGAGTTTGGTACCTGTAGGTAGGTACTTGTGTCTCATATGATAAAACTCTTAACAGTATGAAGTTTTTTATACCTGGAAACATCTATGATAACAAAATAGAATTATGGATGTATCTGGTTATGATGATTTTATAATTCTAAGTGGGATGTTGTTACTTACATCAGCTATTTTATGCTATACAAATATGTTTTACACTTTATGCTCAATTCATGTAGTTGTTTGTGTTGTTTCTTAATATTCTTCTATATTTTTATTTCTGTAGCCATCATCACTCCCTTCAACATTGCCATCAACTGTGGAAAGAAGGCATGTTGTTTTAGATCTGACATCCACATCACACAAGGTAAGGCTTCTATACCACATACATATCACAAAAAGTAGAGTTTCCATACCACATACACATCACACAAAGTAAGCCTTCTATACCACATACACATCACACAAAGTAAGGCTTCTATACCACATCTACATCACACAAAGTAAGGTTTCTATACCACATCTACATCACACAAGGTAGGGTTTCTATACCACATACACATCACACAAGGTAAGGCTTCTATACCACATACACATCACAAAAAGTAGAGTTTCCATACCACATACACATCACACAAAGTAAGGCTTCTATACCACATACACATCACACAAAGTAAGGCTTCTATACCACATCTACATCACACAAAGTAAGGTTTCTATACCACATCTACATCACACAAGGTAGGGTTTCTATACTACATCCATGTTACCCAAGATATGATAACTGTACTATGAAATACAGTTCCACATTTATATCACACCAGGTGGGGTGTCTATACCAAACTAACATTATAAAAAGTAGTGTCTCAGTTTTATAAGTTATGATCTGACATCCAACTACCACAAGGTAGAGAATCCATACCATATTTATATCACAAGATGGGTATTTTTATTGCAAACAATTGAACCAACTTCCACATTACTTCTAATGTATTGATAACAGCCGAATAACTTGAATAATAAATTTTCTCATGTACCGCAGAGTATACACTTACAACAACGCAGCTCAGGCAGTTTCTGAATTGGATTACACGTGTTATAAAGGGACAAAAAGTAATACTGCCCACCTGGAGAAGCTGTAAAAGAGTAATATAGCTACTACTAATCTGAATACGGAATAATGAAAGTGAAAAATTAATACTTCTATGATGTAAATTAAAACTATAAAATATTATTAAATATATATAATAATAATATTGAAGTATATATATATAATTATTTAAATAAAATAATTTATTATTCTTTTCAATGATTTTAATGTGTGTGGAAGTTAAATTAGTATTAATCCATGCTTCTTATTTCATAAATAACATTGTGTTCTACTAAACTGAGTAGTTTATTTGTATGTATTTGCTTCAATAACCATTATGTTATCATTCCTGTATACACAATGCTTGACACTGGAAGTTCCACAGAAAATGGCTAAATAAAAATCTGACCCACCTCTAATACTCCTTGTAACATCCTTGACCCATATCATTTTCACCATACACTGTTTACATTTTGAATCTATTATTTTGATCAAAATAACAGTTTTTTTTAGTTCTTGTGGTAAATTTATTGATCGTAGTTCTATGCACGTTCTCGACGACGTGCAATTTCCCCAAAATACAAATCTTTTGTAATTGTAACCGAATAATCATTGAAAAAAAAAATTCACTAACACTAACTTCATCTCATCTCAGTGTTGGAAGAAAAAAGAGTATAAGTGAACACCTTTACCCTTATTATAATGCAGTCTTGTGTGATTAAGTTTTCCAGAGGCTTTGTCAGCAGTTACTGTATTTTGTATCTTGTCTACCACTAACAAAATAAAATGTATATTGTTTTAGTTAAGAAACGTACTACCAGACGTTCTTCACTCATCAGAAGAGAAAACCTTACCATCAGAACCATCTAGTGAGGAAAGTTGTCAAGCTTTTACTCCTCCTGAAAGCCCCATCCTGTCGAATGTATATACATTGCCATCAGCTCTAGAAAGAACTGCGCATATCAAGAAAGACAATCTACCTTTTGGTAATTCATTTTGGCTTTTTATTATTGTACTGACAGATTAATTTAACTTATTTTGAAAGGTCTAAAAATAGTTTGCTTGAAGCAGAATTGTTGCACTGTGACTTTTTTTGATCAAATGTAATTGTTTTTTTCTTTACATCATCTTACCTGAGTGTGTTCTGTATGAACTTTTATTACTAAAATTCATAATTGGTTAATAGTTGTAAAAATGGTTCTGTAATTTTAATTAGTGTCAGTTAATTTACTCACTTTTAATTTATAACTTTTATTTAATGTTTCTTAACATTATTTGTATAATTCATATCCTAAATTTCATTTTTTGCATATTCAGAGCTGACTTTAAGGAACATTTATTAACACAGTTTTTTGCATCACAAGAAGTTTACCATAATCATTAAAATTGAAACACATAACTGTATTTTTCTCACCTGTTATCACAGAGGTTGATGTTACAGGTTATGACAAAGAAAGATTACCATAAATTAAAACATAATTTAAATCTCCTGTACAAAACCCTATTTTATTGGAACACGGGTATTTATTTAGGTAGATTCTGTTTTTCATTTCTCACTGTAAACCCTAAAATGTTTCTTCACAAAAACAGTTGACAAATTTATTCCAACTCAATTTAATTGACTCAAAAAGCCCATGAAAGTGTAGCTTTTTCTCGATACTGTGTCATTATATGATATTATTTGCCATCTGTCTAAAGGAAGTATTATTCTGTTCTTCCCATATTTTAGGCAATCCTCTGTACTTATATGTATTTATCAAAAAATATATTAACTTAAAAAAAGGAGTCATCAGTGAGTTACCAAATCATTGACATTACTAATTTTCATAATTTACTGTTGACATCACTATAACAGCAATTTATACTTGATTGAAAACCCATTTATTTTACACGTAATCCATAGAAATGAAATAAAGCATTCACATATAGCTTTGAAATATTTTATATACACCAGTTAACATGTTCTTATATTTTAAATTAAAATAATAATTCACTTTGTTTATGTACAGTATTTATTGCCACATATGATACTCAAACAGCTGCATACAGTAAGCTTCTATCCCAAGAGAACCCTATTGTGGCCTATTAAAACAACTGCAGCTGACATAATCAAAGCAAATCTATACTTAGCAGTCACTGTTCCAAGGAAGCTAACAGTAACGACACAAAATTGCTTATTAAATAAACATAATAATATATAAACAGCAAAACACAATGATTAACACAAACTGTTCAATTAACAAATTAATATAGACCTTCAACTACAACAAAAAATTACAAGAGAAGAGGGTTATTATTGACCACATTTTTAACAACATTGTTGATTAAACTTTGGTGAAGAGAGGAGGAGGGGGTGCAGTTACACTGATGGTCATTTTACTTTAAAATTATTAGTGTAAGCATATGTTTTGGATTTCCATATTTTATCTACCATAACACTTCTCTTAAGTCTTGTATACTAACCATTCAGTACATTTTATTGAAGCAACATAGCCGCTAGATGTCCCACCCCCTTTGGTCCATCATAATAGTATTCTGCAATGCACGGAAGGAGCTCCTATATCAGTGGGTAGTCAGATACATATATACAATTTAAGGACATCAAGAGACCTATTGGTTCATCTAGACTGTCCCATCCTCTGTACTAAATTATAAAATAAAAGTAAATCTCTCAGACCCAGCCTTTATCATTCAAATATTTACTAAACCTTCCCTTACCCTTAAATTAAGTGCTTCTACAACATTTAAAGGCAACCCATTCCAAAAGTCAACTACCCTGTTAGAAGAATAAAGCTGACTTAACTGAAGATGACTCATACCCTGTCAAAATTTATATTTGTGCCCCTAGTTTCACCATTAAATATGAAAAATGATGATGCATGAACACTATTAATTCTCTTTACAACCTTAAACACTTCAATCAAATTCCTTCTAACTCTTTTTTTTTCAAAAGGAAACAATTTCAGAAATCTTAACCTATCCTCGTATGACAACCTCTCCATTCTAGCAGCCCTCCTGTGAACTCTTTCCAATAATTCAATGTCCTTTCTAAGGTAAGGAGCTCAAGACTGAACACAATAGTCCAAATGTGGTCAAACCAATGACATATACAATGACATTTATAACCTATTTAGGCTTGTATTCAATATTTCTGTAGATACAACCTAAAATTTTATTTTTCCCTAACATTAGCAACAGTACAACAGGAGACATACATAACCTTGGAGACAAGTTACAGCTAAATAAATAAAAAAGATGTTACACATGATTCTTCTGACATGGAAACTGTCATGTGGCCTCTTACTGGGTGGGTTTGAGTGTTGACTTAGTAGGCCAAGGCTCACCCATGTTCATCCAGTCTTGGTATGTGTGTGTTTTTAATACAACAGCTTATTTTTTTAAGAAATGAGCATTATAAAAGCAAAAGATCGAATTGTTTATGTGACTTTTAAGTTGTGATTACTATTCAAACATTGACTAACGTTTTTAATAACAAAAGGAAAAAACTGCTTGAATGGTGCATGACAAATCTTTTAATGATAAGAAATATCTTAGAATTCCTGGCAAACGATTGAACCTTTGAACACAGCCCTAATTTATTATAATCTCGATTGTCCAAAATATATTAACAGATATCTTTACAGCTTGACAGTTTGTATAGAAGACTTGGTATCCAAGCAGTGTAACAAATATTTTGACAGTAACAATACATGAATATCTTAACAGCTTTACAGTGTGTATAAAAACCTAACCAACATAACAGTTTTACGAATATCTTGACAATTTTATAGACTATACAGAAACTGTAATAGTTTAACAATATTTGCACGTCTTATTAGATTTACAGTGTGTATATAGAAAAAAAAAAACTTTAATAATATTGCAAATATCTTACAATTGTATATGATATTTGAAATTACAAGTGAAAGAACACTGGCAACAAAACACAATTTCTGTTTTTTTTTTATTGTTGTTGTCATTAATTTCATTATCTTTGTCACGAATGACATGCTTGTGTTGATCCTGAACTGTGTAAAAAATTTCAGAGACTGATAAATGTATATATAATATAACACAGATAGATGGTTTTGTTTTCACTCTTATGCAGATTTCTAGTTCTAAAACAAGGCTCATGTGCTGTAACGTCACAGTTATGGTAACTGTTCAGTTTAGTACAATATCTGATGAAGCCTTGGTGTTAGTACAATAACTAAATTTAATAACTATTTACGATTGAGAAAAGTTTTTGATGCCTTCAGAATGTCTTATTGCTTTGAATAGGATTCCACATATGAAGAAAACTAATGGAAATGTGTACATGTAAAATTGATTTCCATTCACACCACCTCCATACACACTTCAAAAAGTTTTAAACTAATTCGTGTAATTTTAATCTTCAAAAAATGTTAAACTATATCATGTAATTTTACTCTTCAAAAGGTTTTAGACTATTTCATGTAGTTTTAAATTTTAAAAAGTTTAAACTATTTTGTGTAATTTTACATTTCAAAAAGTTTAAAGTAATTCGTGTAATTTTACTCTTCAAAAGTTTTACACTATTGCATGTAATTTTACACTTCCAAAAGTTTTAAACTATTTCATGTAATTTTACTCTAAAAAGTTTTAAACTATTTCATGTAATTTTACTCTAAAAAGTTTTAAACTATTTCATGTAATTTTACTATTTAAATAGTTTCAAACTTTCATGTAATTTTACTCTTTAAAAAGGTTTAAACTATTTCACGTAATTTTAACCTTCTAAAAATTTTACAGTCTAAAAAATGTTAAACTATTTTTCATACAGTTTTACTCTTCACAAAGTTTTAAACTATTTCGTGTAATTTTACACTTCAAAATTCAAAAAGTTTAACGTATTTCTTGTAATTTTACATTTCAAAATTCAAAAAGTTTAACGTATTTCTTGTAATTTTACATTTCAAAATTCAAAAAGTTTAACGTATTTCTTGTAATTTTACATTTCAAAATTCAAAAGTTTAACGTATTTCTTGTAATTTTACTCTACAAAATGTGTTAAACTGTTCTCTGTAATTTCAACTTTATGAGTCATGCAATAAATAAGTGATGTTACTTGTAAAGCACGGGATGGTAAGAAGAATAGTTTATAGAAACGTATGAAAATAGCAAGGAGCATTTTATTGAACCGATTACAATCATCTGTTTGTTTAATATTTAAAAAATATACTGTAATTTATAAAATAAACCATGACAGAGTTTTAGGCCGAAGATATATATCCTAATCCATGATACGATATTGACTGTTGATAAATGTAACTACTGCCATGTCATGACGTTTTATAGTTACATTCAAAATGTAACTATATGTGTTATGAATGTATGTCAATAAACATGACATTAAAATATAGTTTATAATTTGGATTTTTTTATTATCTTAGTTTTAAGTTAATTTCAAAAAGAAATGTATAATATTCTCAGTCTTAATCTTTATGTGTGTGTGTGTGTGTGTGTGTGTGTGTCGTGACGCGTCTGGGCTCCGATTTCTCAATTTCAGAAATTTATAACTTCAATAATAGGCTCCTATAGTTTCCAACCAATTAGAAACACAAAAACTTTACAAATATTTTACGCGGCCAAAAATCAACAGTCTGTTTAGTTTCGTCGCGTGCGAATTTCGTACTCTTACTTGAACGAGTAAAATAAGTTTTACACCTACTTATAGCTAACTTAGAAAACCAGATAAATTATAATAGTTTGGGGACATTCTATTCTAGTGCCTAATATATTTTTGTTTTAAAATGCATATTCTAAAGCTACGTGAATTCTTTTTTTAGGGACACAGATTTACCAGAAAAAAATAAGCTTATGCCTATGCAAGAATCACGTGTTGTTTATGTGAAATAGCTAATGGGCTCCCGCTGTGATTTAATGCCTTTGGTTTCAATGGAAGATAAACCGCTCCTGTACATGTAATAAGACCATAAAATTAAAAGAAAATTCCAAAAAGGTTAACAGTTGAGTCTTTGAAGACAAGTAATATGAATAACTGAAATAGATTGCGCATTTAAAGAAGGCAAAAAATATTATTAATTTTGTTTCATATTTTTCAACTTTTCATTTCATTGTACGTTCATGATTTCGCTACAGTTAATTGTAGGTAGAGAAAATAAGCGATAAAATATAAAGTTTTACTGCAAAAAAAATAAAACTTTCTGATATTCATTCAGAAAGTTCGAGACACTACGGAAACGAAATATGAAAACTGTAAAATGAACAAAATAATTTTGCTATTAATATGAAGATTACCTTTCAATCAGATTGACTCAGGAAGGCCAGGTGGTTAGGGCGCTCGACTCGCAATCTGGCGTTATAATGTGGCGGTCAATCCCACTATTCGTTGGTAAAAGAGTAGCCCAAGAGTTGGCGGTGGGTGGTGATGACAAGCTGCCTTCCCTCTAGTCTTACACAGGTAAATTAGGGACGGCTAGCGCAGATAGCCCTCGTGTAGCTTTGCGCGAAATTCCAACAAATAAATAAATAAATTGATTTTTTGTGTATAACGGACTTATAATCTTGACTAAAAGCATGTGAAATTTCGTGAAGATAGACTTAGTAAATTAAGAATTATAGTAAACCTAATATGTATAGCTTCAAAGATACTGTGTTGGTCTTTTTTTGTTTTGTTTCACAGCTATGACGTCACGTGGTTATTATATCTCGGCAATTTCCGTAACATGAAATAAAAGTTCACCAGTACAACCCTATTCTAAACAGCGCTGTAATAACAATGAGTGTACAAGTAGTAGCTGTAATAACAATGAGTGTACAACTAGTAGCTGTAATAACAATGAGTGTACAAGTAGTAGCTGTAATAACAATGAGTGTACAATAGTAGCTGTAATAACAATGAGTGTACAACTAGTAGCTGTAATAACAATGAGTGTACAAGTAGTAGCTGTAATAACAATGAGTGTACAAGTAGTAGCTGTAATAACAATGAGTGTACAAGTAGTAGCTGTAATAACAATGGGTGTACAAGTAGTAGCTGTAATAACAATGAGTGTACAATTAGTAGCTGTAATAATGAGTGTACAAGTAGTAGCTGTAATAGCAATGAGTGTACAAATAGTAGCTGTAATAGCAATGAGTGTACAAGTAGTAGCTGTAATAACAATGAGTGTACAAGTAGTAGCACTTGTACACTCATTGTTATTACAGCTACTACTTGTACACTCATTGTTATTACAGCTACTACTCGTACACTCATTGTTATTACATACTAATTGTACACTCATTGTTATTACAGCTACTGCTGTAATAATGAGTGTAACAAGTAGTAGCTGTAATGGCAATGAATGTACGAGTTGTAGCTGTAATAACAATGAGTGTACGAGTAGTAGTATTCTTTTTTCATGGTAGCAATTAACGGGAAAATGTCATTATTTATTGTGACGGGTGCCCTGTAATGATAAAATTGTATTTAATAAAATGTGAATATTAAATTCATTGTACGAAGTAGGGGAAGTGATCCATCTACACCTGTGTTCATTCTGTTTTCTCACCTAAGGTTTAGGTATTGAAGCAATCGACAGCGGAATAAACGGCATGATGGTTACGTCACTTTCGAAAGATGGTGCTGTACACAGACATAGTCAGATTCAAGAAGGTGATTTCCTTGTTGCTCTTAACAACATTTCCTTGAGAAATGCTGATATCTCAGAAGCTCGTGTAATTTTGGAAAGGGCGTGGAATGACATATCCACAGAAGTGACGTAAGTCGCCATCTGTTGGTGTTATTAGTGATTAATTGTTTAATTCTACAACCAATATGTTTTTTAAATGTTTTAAACAGTTGATTGTTTGTTGCATGGCTTTTGATTGAAATGTGCACGCTTTCAAATATACATGCTGCAGCTACGTTTAGAAGTAACTTTTATTACATATAAAGGAACACTTTTTTGCTCTAGTTATGTACCACCAAAAGAAAATCGAACATTAGTTACTAGGATTTATTTCAGTTGTTGACTTACAGTGGCTAGTTTTCGGTCTTCAAACAGATTTCAGTGTGCAGATATCATTGCACGATAATGCGTAATATGATCATAAACTATGAATTTTACTTGTTGTTTGAAATCTATAAGGAACTTTCACATATGTACAATTATAGGTGATGTTAAATGGGGAAATCAGCGTTTAACTTTTGTCAGATGTTTTAACAAGTACATACATATCTGGTGTTAAACTGTGAAATCAGCGTTTAACTCTCGTCAGGTATTTTAACAAGTACACACATATCTGTGAAATCAGTGTTTAACTCTCGTCAGGTATTTTAACAAGTACACACATATCTGGTGTTAAACTGTGAAATCAGCGTTTAACTCTCGTCAGGTATTTTAAGAAGTACACACATATCTGTGAAATCGGCGTTTAACTCTCGTCAGGTATTTTAACAAGTACACACATATCTGTAAAATCAGCGTTGAATTATTGTCTAGTATTTGTGCATGTACACACACAACTGCCTCATGTACCTGTATTTATGTATTCCGTTCCCATATTATAAGCTGCTAACGACCACTTGCAGCACAACACAACAACAATAACATTGAAACTGTACAGGTATTTTTACAATACGTATCGTTATTAAACCACAAAACTGTTGTAGTTTGCCTTTTACAGGTGTTTCTGTTTCCACTGCACGTCCTGTTTTAATGCCAGTAAACAAAAAAAAAATTTCTACTCTACCGTGTACGGGTGTTTTACAGCATATCTAATTATTAGGTCACTAAAAAATTGTGTATACTTTTACCCCGTACATGTGTTTTCACGGATATGTTTAGCAGAGCAAGAGTAAGCCCACTTCAGAGGGTACTTCAAACTTCGTCACACAAGTTGCGTTTAGAGACTTTTCTTGCTACGTTACATCAGTGTTTACCTTTATGTTTCTACCACAAACAGTACTGGTAAGTTTGGTTTTAGAGCATATTATTGGCGATAGGTCCACTAAGAGACAATGTTTGTTACCAATTGTTAAGAGTTAAAACTAAACTTTAACTTGGTTGGCTTGGTCGTGTTCCCTGCTACCCTCTGGAACAGGGGTGGCCAAACCCCGGCCCGCCTAAAATTCACTGTATTACGGCCCACGCATGATACTTAGACAGCGCCTGTGACCTTCTCATTATTTTTAATTTGATATAAGATCTATTGATATAAGATTCTTTGTGACCACAGCCAAATGAGAGCTGTATCAGAGCATTGAAAAATACTAAGCTCAGGGTGGCCACTTTTTTTTTTTACCAGCACTGTATTTTAAAGTTGAATGCGGCCCGGGTCGACTCCGGTAATTAAAATCTGGCCCGTGGCACAAAAAAGGTTAGCTACCCCTGCTCTAGAATTACATTCCTTTAGAGGGAAAACTTGATGGGGTGGGGTCGAACAACCATCCCATTATTTTAAAAAGAAGTTTACGGTTCGGCATCTTTTCACTGCGAGATCAACTAAACTGGTCTTTATTTTTGTTCTCTTAAATTTTTAATACGTTCGTTTTAGAAGGTTCACTTAGGCGAAAATAAACCATTTAAATGATTTGCATACAAGTAAAGGCCTACACTTCGTTGGAAAAAGACACCCCCACCCTCTAGAGCTAGCTTCACCCCTGGGAGCTACATGTAATGGTGAGGGCCTAATTTTACACTCACTATATGAATTTAGGTGGGATTTAATAGTGATAATTGTTAATATGCTGACCTATGGCGAGGAGTGTATTTGAACTAATCGTTAAAGTATTAAAGTTTCTTATTTCTGAGCAGCGCAGCTTAGCGTCCTTTTAATATTTAAACGTTCCCAAAGATGATTTTTTTTTACATACAACACTAACTTCGTAAGTAAATACTTAAAAAAAATAGATGGATGAATGTATATATTTTAGGCAATTAGGTAAAAGAGAGAGATAGATATAGAAAGCGAAAATGTGAGATAGGTGGATAGATAGGTACAATGCTTATAAAATTGATAAAATATGAGCAAAAATAAGTAGGAAAGATATGGAGCTTTCTGATGTGAAAAACATTTTTATAACTTTATAATATCATTTTTTATAATGTTCGTCACCATCAAGTTGCAAAGTGGGGATGATTTTATAGACATGCAGATTTTACAATGAGAGATTGAAAGTATGGAGAGGGGGGGGGGTTCTGGGGGCATTCCCTCCGGAAAATTAATATAATGTTTTGGTGTCCATTTCTAAAAAAAAGTTCTCATCTCATTTTTTGGTTACGTTTGTAGACTATATTACATTCCCGCAACAGACGCTGCAGTCCACAGACAAACAGTGCTCATGACATTGCAACACCACGAGGAGTCTCCCACACAGGCCACGTCATCAACAAGGTAAGTCAGGTGTGGCTGATCGTTAGTTAAGGTAGATGAGATCTCCGTTTAAAATATGGGTAATTTATGTAGATCGAAATATAGCACAAGTAAAGTAATATTTCAAATTACACAACCAGTACACACTATGACATTAATGTTCGTTGTTGTCGTAAAAACAATATGATATTACTTTCAAAGCATTAAGAATATAAAAAAAGGTAATCTTACCATGTTTGTAGGTTAATGGTTTTAATAATATATCCTGAATAAATGCATAATAAAAGCTAATATATTTTACGAGCTTGATTATATATATTACTGAATTATTTATCAATATCCAGTTAGTTCAAAGGTTACAAAGTTTTAAATGTATTTGTTTAAATATCAATACTGATTTATTAGTATTCTAAGACGAATAACCATATAATGCAGTGGTGTAGGAAGGAGTTGCAAAGAGGGGATGCTTTTCTAGACATGCAGATTTTACAATGAGAGATTGAAAGTATAAGGGGGGAGCATTCCCTCCGGAAAATTAAGATAATATAATTTACCATTGCTATAAAAGTCAAATATGTAAAAGTGGGGGTTGTTTAGCACCCCCCGGTTCCGACGCCTCTGTAATGGTATTTATTTTAATAAATAAAGTATATAATTGTTTTTTATATAATTAACTTAAAAAACTGAATCTTCATTTCACCGTCAGATAATTACGTACAAAAATAGTGAGACGATGAAGCGAAATCATGTTATTAGACAACAGTAATAAAACAGATAACAAAAAACTTATAGAATAAGCTCTTTTTCGTGGGCACAGAATAATGATATTTTTAATTGAGTAAGTAATTCGACAGTTTAGTTCGGATATTTGCGCCAAGCTACGCAGTGTTATCTGTGCTAGTTGTCTCTAATTTTGAGCTAATAGACTAGAGGGAAGGCAGTCAATAACACCAGTCCCAAACTCTTGTTCCACTGTAATCAAATAGTTGAATTTGACCATCATTCTTATAATGTACCTACGGCCTCAAAATGTACCTACGGCCTCAAAATGCGGACACGATTTTGCGGTAACGGGATGTAAACTTTGTGCCCTTGGATTCTCATTTCGTCACGCTAACCATTAGGCCACCCCCGGCCCATAATTCGACAGAATAAATAATCATCAACAAATTTTCTGATTATTGTTTCGTAATGTGTATTTTCTGACATTAAAGTTGTATGTATTAGGTACCACGTTGGAAAAAAAAACGTGATTTTAAAATTGTAAGTAATTGAGCAAAATGTTTCTCAAATACATTTTTGTTTTCTTTTTTAGCAAGATATTAAGCATCGGTGAAAAACAACAGTTTTGGAGAAATACATGTTATAGTTGTATTTATAAGGCAGTCCACAACTATGTTCAGTCGTAGAGACGTTCTCGGTAAATCTGCCGGTTTGTTTTTCACGTAGCTAAACGTCGATCGGTTTTGGTGTGCGGATTCATGTTTTAATAAAAATGGTGACAGTGTGGCTTGTTTATTATTCGGAAATACTTCATAATATGGTTAAATGTATTTATCCATGTGGAGGTCTTTCTCAGTATTCGTGCTGGAGTATGTGTAGCTTATTTTCAATAAGTAAAATTGGTATTCTGATTGATACCTCAAGCAAATGCCTTTAATCTTATTTAATATACAAGAGTAGACAGGATTCGTGTACTTTTACAGGAGGAGTCTTCTCAGTATTCCATAAAAGGTTTATTTGTTTGTTTTAGAGCAAAGCCACTTTCGACTATTTGCTGTGTCCATTGCGGGGATTCGAACCCCCAATTTTTGCTTGGAAATTTCGTAGACTTATTACCGCTGTCCCGGGGGATTTCATAAAAGGAAAAAAAAACAGTCTGTGATTATAATCCTTTGGATTGTAATTAATCAGAAGTTGTGTCTTTCAAGTAGATATTAGTTTTGTTTGCCGTTACGAATTGGTCTGTTCAACTTAGACATTGTATTGATAAATTTGTATAGACCACATTACAAGCATAGTCGAAATGCTTTTTCTTTAGGCTTGTTCTATCTATCATTCTGACTCAGAATTTGTTTGTAGTGGTTTTGCTCAGCGTTTAATCTGTCTCCGTGGTCTCTGTATTGGATGCCTTTTTAAATGTAGGTGAGTTTGTAAGGTTGATAATAGGACATTATCAGCTCCAATGTCCAGGTAATTTGAAACCTTTCTAGTGCTGCACTAGATCTAGTACTCTCAGCAACTATTTGCTACGCTAATAGGATTAGTGAGACGAACTTCTGAAATTATAGGAAATAGTATTGTGGGTGCTGGACGTGATTAATAGATCATACAGCATGAGCTTTGGTTTGAAGTACGTACCCTACAGTTTTTTGGCTTATAGTTGTATAATGTTTTTTGGATTACCGTCTTCTAAGAAACCCGAATAAAAGTAAGTTACATTTTTGTGGTAACTTGCATCAAGTTGTGCTTTTTTATTAACATATTTCAAGTTATACAATAATTCTTTCTTGTTTTGCCATGTTTTGTGGCTTACTGTTTTATTATTTCACGTTAAGTAGACGTCTTTTACTTTCCGATATGAAAATACTAGCTAGAAATATCACACACTTCGAATACATTCTAGTACTTTCAACAAATATTGGTGAAACTGTTATTCATGAAATTCCTGGACCTTATTTTTTTAATATTTCTCAGGATTTGGACACTTGGAAATGTTTGTAATCTGGAAGTCTTTCTTTAATTAGTTCTTTAAGAGTTTTCTAACGATCTTATAACCACGAATGTTTTCTTGTGATTTTAGCAACTGTCGGAATAAATTGTAAGCCTATTGTTTAACCATTAAAACACATTATTTTAACGTTGTATATTTGGTATCCGTTATTGCTAGATCCCACTAATCCATTCCCCTGTTTTCTCGTGAAAATAAAACAGATCATAACTCTCACGATGAAAATACCCCATAGCGACGGAGCTTTCAATTGGTCAATATTTCTGTTATTCATGAAACACGAAAAGGCGTTTGGGAACCGTATAATATTGTAAAGGGATCTCTGGGTAATATATATATATATATATGAATAGAGAGGTGAGAGAGAGTAGAAAATTGTAGTGGTGATTGTGCATTGGAACAAAGTACTAAAAGTACAAATATTTCTAACACTTTATCGATCAACAAAGTTACCGAACATTCATCTTCGGGCTTATTGGGGCAGTTCAGTTGGATTAAATTCACATTGTAATTTTCGTTCGTAATGGGGAGTCCAAACTCTAGAGTAGTATCTCACTGTAATTTTTTAATATTAAAACTTGTCATTACTAAGCTGAAACTTATTCTATTTTTCATTTTAACAGTACTATTTCCTTCTGATAAGGCCCGGCATGGCCAGTTGGTTAGGGCGCTCGACTCGCACTCTGAGGGTCATGGGTTCGAATCCCCATCCCACCAAACATGCTTGCCCTTTCAGCCATGGGGGCATTATAATGTTGACGGTCAATCCCACTATTCGTTAGTAAAAGAGCAGCCCAAAAGTTGACAGTGGGTGGTGATGACTAGCTGCCTTCCCTCTAGTTTTACACTACTAAATTAGGGACAGCTAGCGCAGATAGCCCTCGTGTAGCTTTGCACAAAATTCAAAAGAAACAAACAATCCTTCTGATAATGTTTTAATATATATCTTAATTTAAATGTAGCGTGACTCTTGAATTACCACACTTGAGTTAGGGATCTCAGTTTTTGCTATCTTATTAATGCAGCACATGATTTAACCATAATATGTTAAAAAAGCCTTAATTTAATGGGTTTTCACAGCTTCAGGTTAGGATCTTTCCATCAGCATAACTTTCATTCACTCATTTTCATAGGCAGCAGAACTGAAACAATGACTTTCCATGATAGTTATATACGAGTCTCTTTTTACCCATTGAAAAGGTGCACTTTGCTACCAAGTCAAAATGAGGGGACATGCTCCCCAGTTCTGCTGCCTATGCTAATTTTGTCAAATGTTAATCATTATGTGACAAGAGACACACACAATAAATATCTGTTGTACTGATATTAGATTATTTTCTAAAACATTCCACTTTAGTATTGTAATATTCTGTATTGATTGGATGGAAAGATAATGCTTACTGTTCCTATTCACACTTCAACATATACAAATTTCAGTTTACTTAAATACTTGTTATGGAAAAAAGTTTGAAGAAAAAAAATTGTGATTAGTGTATAATGTTTTCCATTTAAAATTATATTTCTGCCAGCTTGGTTAGAGTATTGAGTGTAACAAAATGGTATTATAAAACTATCATACCTATAAAGTTAGGACAAAAATTCTTGTAGTAACTAATTAGAGTTTTTAATTTTCAATGTTATAAAGAATAATTTTATTGTTTGCCTTTTTATTTATTTGCCTACCTGAATGAGATAGTTCTGCAGGGTTTGTCCAGTCAGGGCTTGTCCATGATGATGATTTAACTCCAGAAACATTCCAGGATTCAGAGACATCCCTTGAGGAAAGCAAATACTTTACATCATTTGAATCGATTCTCTCACGAACACCACCTAGCACCCCAACTCCGACACCATCATCCACTTCTGGTGAACCAACAGAGCAGGAAGAGGCCACTGTTAAACCTCCAGCATCAGCAGAAAGTGATCCTTCATTGGAATCACAGGAGTACCTTATGATGGAGTCCAATTCCATCGTTGAGACTGTGTCACCTTCCTTTGAAGAACGAATGGCATTTTTTAAAGCCAAAAGCTATCCTGTAAAGCATCAAGTGCCTTCTAAAATCACATTGAAAAAGTCTCCCACATCTTCTTCAGTGATTGGTAAGCTGTTTATTCATTTAATTTCAGTTATTAAAAGACTTTGACCCTTAGAAAAAGTATATGTTCGTCTGAAATACAAAAAATGTGAATATTTTATGTAATACAAGCAAAAAATTACAGTTTGATGTAAAGTAACTTTTCATTGAGTTTTTTCTTTCTGATAATTAAACTTGTAAAGTAAGATATAATCATAATATTCATGATCAAAATCATGCTTGACTGCCTGTTCCTCCCTTCACACACACACACACATTTCTCATAATTACTCCATTAAGAATTTCAAAACAGAAGCATGTAAAAATAGCATTTGGAATTTTTTGTCTACCACAAGATACTGCCCAAGAGGCCTTTCTTCAGTACCAAAACTCATTTATCTAAAATGCTGTTTTATATAGTTAGCATACAGGATCATCTTCAGTAATGGGTCTGTGGTCCATGAGTGGAATATAAATACAGGTTAAGTAGTTAGCACACAGGATCACCTTCAGTAACGGGTCTGTGGTCCATGAGTGGAATATAAATCCAGGTTAAGTAGTTAGCACACAGGATCACCTTCAGTAACGGGTCTGTGGTCCATGAGTGGAATATATAATCCAGGTTAAGTAGTTAGCACACAGGATCACCTACAAAAGTTATAATATTTTCAAAACGAGACCCAAAACTCGAGTACTTTCGAATTGTCAACTATTCAAAGGTGCTCGAGTTTTGAGTCTCATTTTGAAAATATTACAATTTTTGTAGGCGATCCTGTGTGCTAACTGCTGTTTTATATGTTATAATGAAACACTGAATTGCCTAACCCTATGATATTATCATATATTATTTTGTAAATCTTCAATACATTTTTTATGTGTCACAAAAAGAAATGACAAATGTAGGATTATAATGATATTTTTCATAAATACAGATGGTATGCCAAGTCCAGTCTCATCAGAAGAGAAATACAGAACTCCAGAAACACCAGAACCCTCAACTGTGTCAAGTCCAATTCCCCCATCACCAGTAGGATCTTCAGGCACTGTAAGTCCCACAAATGTTATCTCGCATCAGTGGGGACCAGAAAGAACAGTGAACTTAAGGAGAGAGCCAGGTCGAGGATTAGGAATCAGTATTGTTGGGGGAAAAGTGGAGATGTTCCATTTGTCACCTGGAAACACTATTACTGGTATATTCATTAAAAATGTGCTTCCAGACAGCCCAGCTGGTAGAAATGGGACCTTAAGACGAGGAGATAGAATATTGGAGGTAATTATAAGAATCATACTTTTTTCCCAGACAGTTGAATTAAGAAAACTAAGCTCACAAATTTAAAGACCTGGGACTTACACTTGAAGAATATATTTCATATTTTGGGTGCTTCAGCTATATTAGTCGTTTCACTTAAGAAACAATCATATTATTGGATATTATCACTGTATTGGACATTATTACCTTACTTTGTTTAAAAGTATAGTTCAGCATTACTATGGTAAGCTACTTTGTAAATCATTAACAGAATCTGAATACATAATTCAACTTGTAGTGGATTATATTAAATATAGTGATATTTTTATAAACATACTAAGTTTGTAGTGCAGTTTACTTCCGTGATGAATTTTTGTTAACTTTAAAATAACTAGATGAGACTGTTTTGTTTTTCATCTGTGTTTAACTTGAAGAAGATTAAAGAGCATTGCCATAAACACATTTGTGTGGACATAAGGAAAGGTGCATACTTTCCTTGAGTTATAAGAAACAGTTTTCCTAGAATTATAGGTTGTAAAATTCTTCAGCATCCTTTGGGTTTATACAAAATGGAAAAATATTCAGCCTAAGAAAGATTTAACAGTAGGTTAGAATAAGAACTTGTTTATATGTATTATCACTTAGATAGGAGTTAGAAATTAGTTTATCTGGATCAATATATTTTCTCAATTTTACATTCTGGATGTTCTGCAATTTTCTTTTCCAGTCACACAGTGAGACTAACCAAAAAAATTAAAGTCCAGGTATGAGATGCAACTTGTTAAATTATAAAGTTCTCTTTTTCAGTAGGGATTTTTTTCTGATAGGGAAAGTTTAAAGAGTTTGCACATTTAAACTGTTGGGACTTGGAAATATTCTTATGGTGCTTGTAGTCATTTAGAAATATAATATCCAGGTAAAGTATTTTATATTTTATACCATCTTTCTTATTTTCATACTAATATAGTACAATTAATACTATTTCAAGGGAATAGTTAAGAAGTTTCCTTTAATTACCCCATTTCTCATCAGGTAGATGGTATAGACCTGAGGGATTCTACACATGACCAGGCTGTAGACATCATCAAAAATGCCAAAGATCCTGTTAAGTTTGTAGTGCAAAGTTTGCTCCCTCTGGTGAGTTTCATTTAATCTAAAATATTATAAATTTAATATATGGTTTGTTTTTTATGCTTAACATGATTTGAAGAAAGTATAAGAGCACTGCCCAAGAAACTGCACTGTGTAAGTATGGAAAGATACATGTGATTAAACATTATATAAATGAAAGTCTTTTTAGGGCATACTCTATAATAGAATAAACATCCAAAATTATTAACCTTTCTTAATATGTATATTGGGTAAATTTTCAGCCCAGAGATTCTTCGTTTAACATGAGACCTGAAGGAGATAACGAAAGCCAGATACTTCCAGCATCTTCTTTTCCTTCTCAAAATTCTCAGGAGGAAGATTTGATCTCCCAAGAAGAACGACGAGAATCTCAAGTATCATTACAAGAACTAATGAAAGTATGTATTAAACTATACTGGTCCTTTTTATTATTTTGTAGCTAGTAGGATTTCTCTTAACTAATTAAAAACAATAGTAGCAAGTAAAACCCTTTTGAAGACTCAGTCAGCCATGAAAAAGTTATTCTGTGCACTGCTTTATAACTTGTTGCAATGTTAATTTCAGTAGCTATCATTATTATTATTAATTGAAATAACACAGTTTAAAATATCTTTTTTTGGTCAAAGAAATTTAGAACAATTATATAACTTCTCACTGCATAGAGATTATACATATGACAAATAATTTGTACAGATTTTCTTTTTCTGTGTTTAGTGGGACTAAGCATTGCCCAGTGGTTAGTGTGCTGGTTTGTGAAACTGAGGTTCATTAGTTCATAGGCCCGGCATGGCCAGGTGGTTAGGGCGCTCAACTCGCAATCAGCGGGTCGCAAGTTCGAATCCCTGTCACACCAAACATGCTCACTCTTTCAGCCGTGGGGGCATTATAATGTGACGATCAATCCTACTGTTTGTTGGTAAAAGAGTAGCCCAAGAGTTGGCGGTCTTACACTGCTAAATTAGGGATGGCTAGCGCAGATAGCTTTACACGAAATTCAAAACAAACAAACATTAGTTCGTGCCATGTTACCACAAAAATTAAAAAGCACACATGCTCCACACTTTGGAGGTGTGATTGTGTTAAATACCACTATTTAGTCTAACAAGAGTTACCTATGGGTAGTGTTAACTAGCTGCTTTCTGTCTAGTCTATCACTTCAAAATTAGGGAGGACTATGCATATAGTCCCTAAATAGCTTTGTGTGAAATTTAACAGACAAGCATATAAAATTAGTATTTGTAATAGAAATAATAAATTCAATAAATATTCCAAGCAACTTTAAGATTGTTATTTAGTTTCAGATAGTTTTATGTTTTTCAGTACAATAAATGATCAACACATTTACAGTTAGTATCCAAGTATCACTGTTTTGTAAGATTTCAAGAAGCTTACATTGAGTGAAGAAAATTTTTTACATAGTACCCTGATGCTAATAAGTCTTGATATGCATAAAGAACAATTAGTTAAGAATCTTGCAGTAGGAAGAAAACTAACATTTGATTTGTTTTCTAGGTGCGTAAATAAATCTTTGAAAGATAAGTTCCACTTTGCTAGAAAAAAATTTTATTTGTGAGATTTACCAAAATCTTGTTTTATGAGATGACAAAACACTGTTATGCATTTTAAAATGAAGAAATTAGTCTTTATCATTTATTCCCATTAAGGAAAAAAGTTGAACTGTGAAATTGTATTAGGTCAAGTGCAGTGTTTTTCTTCCTATTTGGTTACCAACATTTGTGGCTGGAGTATTATTTGTGCAAAGTGTACTTTCTTTGAATTGTTCATGTGGTAGCCAGTTCCTTTTTAACTAGTGTCCTGGTGTATTTGATGTAATATTAGGTCGTCAAGAAATTAATGTCGTGTTTTGGAACTCTTTTATTAACCACCACCCAAACGTGTGATAGTTATATGAACTGCCTAAATGTCACGTTTAGTGTAGACTATACAATGTGTAAAGTTTAGTATACTCTAATCTCTTATAGTGATGGCACATGATGAGACACTCATTCCGCACGTAATGCTGTTTCAATACAAGAAGGGAAACAATGCCTCTGTAGCCACAAAGAATATCAAAGAAGTTTATGGAAATGTTTTGAACGTTCATAAGTGTCAACAATGGTTCAGCAAATTTCTTTCAGGTGACTAAAGTCACCTTATAAACTGTGATGGCAGGGGCCGACATGTTGGAATTGATATTGATACTCTGAAGACACTTGTTGAGTCTAACCCAAATGTGGAAGGTGTTAAAGAGGACATTGACATGTTTTTTGCTTCAAAGTCAAGTGATTTTTTTAATCAGGGCACCACCAACCTGACTGTAAGATGGAAAAGCATCATCAATAAGAATGGAGACTATTTCATTTAATAAACGTTTTGTTTTGATATATAAGTTGTTCTGGTTTTTTCATCTGAAAAAAGTGACATTAATTTCTTAAAAACCTGATATTTATTTGCTTGACTTTACTGAGAACTAATGGATGTCTGTCTTAGAGTTCAAATCCATCAGTTTTTTACACTAATCCAGCACTGTTTTGGATTAATGAATTTGGTGAGCATTTTCTTGACAGGTTTCATAGCTCAATGCGTCTGCTTGCCTTCGTGCGAATGGTAAGAAACATTTGAGTCCTCGTCACCTTGGCGCTAGGCATCAGTTGTTAAATAAAAAAATGCCAGCTTTGTTTCCTTGATCCATATGAATTTACTTTCATAATGGCAAGGTGAATTAAATAATGAGGTACTTGCCAAAGTATTAGCAGTTGCTTGTGACTCAAAGTTGAGAAAGAACTACGTCTCTGCCTATTTTGCAATATTGCTGCAGGGACAAACCAGCTTGTTGCAATTGAAGTTTATTTTGACATAAATATTTTCTTCGGACTGTACTTCCATTTCCATTCTTGGTGATGTAAATTTAATTATGCAAGTTTTCTGAACAAGGTGACCTTTCCAAATGCCCTCATAACCTTACTATTTGAAGGTTCTATAAAATTTCTCGTGCAATTAGTTTAGGAATTACTAACTTTTTCACTGGTTTTCTCACACTTTGACTTGGTAAGTATCAGTGATACATATATCTGTTCAGTATCTCTAATTTTCCATACTTGGCTCGTAGAATACCAACATCTAACATGGATAACTCAGCCAATTTAGCCTACTGTCTCAACTGTAGTACTCGTCCCATGTCTTAAGGCTCATAGATTTGCTTCTTATGGTTTTTCTATGATGCCTGATTTATGTTCAGAAGGTTGCTGCATTAGATCATTCTTATGTGTTTAATATGTGCCCAAGGAAATACAGTTGTGTGCATTCATAGTTGTGTCTGGTTTGAGTTTCAAGTTTTCTTTATATGTATTCCTAAATACTCAAGAAATTTTACATGTACTGGGAGAAATAACTACTACTGAAATCTGTATAATGCTAGCTTCAACAGTCATTCAAAGTTTTCCCACCTAGAAAAATTGCTACATTGAATTAAAAAAAGATGTGGAAAGTAAGTTTTTAGTCCTTCTTCTACATATACAAAAAAAAGCAAAAATTTTGGAGTTGAAGTGTACACAACAAAAAAAGTTGTATTTATTTTATTTATGAATAAAAAAAAAATTCTTAAACTGAAAATTTTGGGTTGAGTTTAGAGTGTTCTATACATGAACAAACATGATAGTGCTTATAAATTTCCTGAATTTTGTTTTCTCAGTATAATATGATATTTATAACCCTCTGGGAGGAAAGTAAATAGTTTTGGATAAAAACCGTGCTAACATAAACCTTGTAAGTTCAGTACAAGTGTAGTTTTATCTATTTAAACCATTCACTGTAATATAATTACCTATACCTTGGCTTTGAGAAGTTATAAGCTAGTGATGTAAACATATTATTTTCAACTGTGTAAGGTAATATGGCTTCCAGTTCAGTGGAGACTTGGGTAGAGATTGTAACAAAGTGATGAAAACTTAGCTTTGTAATATATATTGTAAGAAGAAAAGACGTTTGTCAACAACTTCCACCACAAATCACAATCCTGATTAGTTTTAAAGTTTGCATTATTATTTTATACTTCGTTTGAATTTTGATGTTGTAGTATGATAGGAAAAGCAATGCTTATTTGTGGAACAAGATGACATAGTCTTCATAAGATCATTTTCCACTTGACTTTTTCAAGTTTTATTTCATCAACAAGGTTTATTAGGTCATGTTTACACTAGGCCTTATTGGCCTGAGTAATGTTGGAATATGTAAATTATTGTAAATGGGCTTAAAACTTATTAAATGTATAAAGTAACACCTTCTGATTTACAATTTTAAAAAAAAATGTCAACTTCATTATAATTTTGGTATGGTTAGAAAGTTATTTTTATTGCAAGCCAGTAATGGTACACACACAGTGAAACTGCATGCGAAGTTTTTCGAATAAAAACAAAGATAAAATTTACAGATTTGTAAAATAAAAACATTATAGGAAACTTTTAGAAGAATGTAGAAAGACATAAAAATTAGAGATTGAAATCCACAACTAGGGTAAGCATTTTTTATTTGTTTCTTAAAAAACATATCACAATGAATTCTTTTAGAATTTTCAAACTTATGCAAGTGTCACTTAAAAATGAGATATTTTATTTGCAGAAGCTACATAATCTGTAGAAAGTTCATCTTAAGTGTCAAACTATTTCTTCTAGTATTTTCTATTTACAATGCACTGAAACAAACCATAATCAGGTGTATCCAACAAACGCACCTAGGCACTTTAGAGTTAAGCTCATAGACTGCACTTCCAATACTAAAGTCAGTCTTTGGTGTATTTTAGTTATTCAGCTGAACTTGCTAGCATTCAGAAGCACGACCCAGCAAGCAGAAACACTGTATGTTTTCCAATATGTTTATCTTCTGTAGAGAAAAGTCATCATTAGAATTGTGGTGTTTATTCTCTTAATTAAATGTAAAGCAAAATCTCATGGTATCTTTTATCTTTCTTGAAAATACATTTTGACATTGTACTGTCAGAGTAAAAGTCTTGAGTTGTTAAGGTGGCAGAGGTTGCTGTTTAATTTAAAATTGTACTCATTTAACCCTTTCCAGACAGGTCACAGGTCATGTCATCGCGTTTGTTTACTCGCATTCAAAATTTTATTGAACTACTATTTCATGAATTTATGTCA